GCGCCTTCACGACATGGCTGCAGCGTCAACAATACTACAGCGAGAATAAAAGTTACGCCTTCTTTCTTTGCGTGAACATTTGGGCGGCGTTATGCAAATCTTCCCACATAGTGAGGTAGATATGTGGGGGCGTGTTAAAACGAGCCGTTTTAGGTAGGTGTGGCTGACTCTGAACTTTTATAAAGAATATCTCTTTGGATTTGAGACTTTAGTCTTTGCAACTTTACAGATCTTCTTTATGCACCAAGAGCTTGTAACACTCCGAAGAGAAAGGAAAAATTGAAATCGCATCATATGACCCCTTTAAGTTTGGATTGTGCACTTTCATGCCTATTTCAAAAAGTGGGGGGTGACTGTTAAGGGGTTAAATATATACATGCATGGGTGTGTATTTATATATACATAATAAATATACACAGTACACACACATATATTATGTAAACAAAAACGTTTATTTTGGATGCGATTAATCGTTTGACAGCACTAATTTTAGATCTTAAATCAAACAGTCAAAATCTAAATCAAAATATATAAACGAGAATTAAGGATTTTTCACATTTTAGCATCCTATTCTCCAATGTACCCAAGCTTTTTTCTTGCTGTGATATATTTTCCGCATACGCCTTGCTTTCCTCAGCAGTTTGTGTCTGACTAGTTTCTTTTGGCTTTTTGGTTCCTCTAGGGCACCATTTTCCTACCTGGCAACAGAGTCACCGAACATCCCAGCAATGGGGAGGAAGGCGGAAAGTTCCTTTTTGAAGTCATCCCAGGTAAGGAGAAACCATTTTTTTTTTACCCTGTCTGTTTTTGCAATGCAGCTCCTGTAGCTTTCATGATGGGACCACAGTGACCTCACTCACTGAGGAGAGGTCTTCAAAGACATTCATCAGAGCTAATGAGAACAGATCGACGCTGGGCACTTCGCTGACAAACACAGCTGAATCCTGATGCTCCAGACACAACATATCACAGGAAATCTGTGTCATTTCAGTGGAACGGTCTCTTGCATTTGTAAACAGTGCTCATTTATAAATCTTCTAGGAATCTTGTCATGTAAACCAACCCATGTGTTTTCAAATGGATCTCTCTTTATCCATGTTTGTGGGTAATTTGTTTTCTCCCAAATGTAGTTTAGTGATAAATGACGCTGGAGCTGCCGTCTGCTGTAATTAGTTTACAGATCACACTCTTCTCTCTCTCTTCGGGCTCTGGTTGTGTTTGGAGAGGGTTCAGATAAAAAGCAGATGTCCCTCTCATGTGCTGGATGATGAATCACTGAGGACAGATGAGTGCTTGAGGAGCAACAGAAGTGCAGCGCTACTTCCTGTTCAGTTCTGCGGATCACTCTGATAACATACACACCTGAGCTTCAAACTAAATAAATGACTGAAACAGAAATAACAAGAGACACCTGCTTTCTAGCAGCTGGAACTGTGGTAGCACACACTCCTACCACACTATACAGTATCAACACGTTATATAGGGGCTACAAGATTTGACCACCTCAATGTATTGCGATTTTTACTCATTTTGACTTTTAAACTTTTTGAGCTGTGGCAACAATTTGAACTACCAAAATGTGCTTTTTCAATTTTTTTTAATCCAAAGTGGCCGGTCCTAAAAACATTGCAAAAAGACAGAGGCACACAAAGACAAAACATAATCAGTATAACACATTAACATTAAATTATGTGAAATGTGATACAAAACACCATAATGAACATTATTCATAACAAAGATGAGAAGACACGAAACTTTTTAAATAAAATATATGTTATGTGTTACGCAGGGACTTCTGGGAATGTGGGAATTATATGATAATTCAGTTTTTAATTTAAAAAAACAAATTTGACCAATTTGAGTATTTTACAGTAAAATTATTTACAAATTACAATGCAATGTTACTATTTAAAATTTTTCACCATATATGGTAAGGTAACTTACAGTTAACCAATTAACAGATTTTATACTATATCTTTAATGAAATATGTATATTGCCACTGTGATTTATTTATTTATTTTTTTGCAACCCAGGACATCTGAAAAACACTGACTTCCTGTTTTCTGTTGCTCTGTGCTTGAATTGCTTAGGAACATCAGAGTTAAGTAGGTGTAATTTGGAAACTTTGACAAATCTGTTTTCCCAGCAGTCAGAATGTTTCTGAGAAGAGTGACTTTGTTTCTTTCTTTCTGTTTCTTGGGTCCGGAAATATTACACA